TTTTTTTTTAACTTTACGAGTATACATGTTTTGACGCGCCCCTCAGGATCCCGGGCATTGGGTCTAAACAAATAAAGCCTATTGAGTACGATCTGTAACCAAAATGTATACATAAACTATGCGTATGGGACAAATATGATAAGGAAATAAGATACCAAGACAGATATTTAGATATCGGAAACGCAGATATAAGATAATAATAAAACATAAAGATGAAACATAGATAAAACGATATCTAACTCATTTATTGAAGTCCTCGCTAAAAGTTTCCCGTTTTCTGTGCTCGCTTCCCGCCGCCTCCGCCCCCAGATGGCGCTCTCCCGACGCGTCCCATCCGAGGCAACGGTAAACGGACAGTTTGTGTTTTGGCTTGGTAGAGGACGAACGTGTGCCGGCACAATGGCGAGCGAAGGTTGTCAAATCTTCAACCCAGCCGAAAAGGTGGCTAAGATATCCCACTGCTCTTCAATGGAGCAGTACAAACAGATGTATGAGAAGTCTATTAAAGAACCGGAAGCATTTTGGGGAGAGATTGCCAAGGATTTTTATTTTGAGGAAGCTGTGACAGGCAAGTTCGTTGACTACAATTTTGACACAACGAACGGGAAAATTTTCATTCGGTGGTTAGCAGGCGCCAAGACCAACATCTGTTACAACTGCTTAGACCGACATGTGGCAGCAGGCAAAGGAGATCAAGTGGCATTTTACTGGTAAGTGAGAAAAAAGGAGTTTTAACATTAAAACTGAAAATGTAAGCCCTTTCATTGACAGTGCCTTCCTGTGGCACGCGTCAGGCAGTGTGTATCATAGACCAGCCTACTCAGTTAAAGGAGTTTTTCTCATACTCTCTAGAATAATGAAACAAGGAGTTTGTTAACAGAATGAAGTAGAATCAAAATGAAACTCGGCCGATGCGGCATTCCTGAGAAATAAGATCACACCGGGTCATGAAAACATAGTTGTGCGCATAGCGACGTGACTACGTGAGGCGGTGAACATTGATTTAAATTATTGAGATTAGATACGAGGTGTGGGTACAATGGAGACAAATGACAGTACTGTTTTAGAGAGAACGAGATCAGCTGAAGGATATATAAAATCAATCTTGTACAAAAACCTAACGCACAGACGCGCATGCACATATTCGCGCCTATGTATTCTCATGCCTACACGCATATATTATATGTTAAGAAAACGGTTAAGAATAGGACAGCTAGAAGAGAAGGAATAAGGAAACACAAAATATTATATCTATGTACATTGCCTGATAGAAGTCTACTCTGAATATTTACCTTCACTTACCTGTTATACACACATGCACATCGATACTCACACAAGTTTTTTCACACATTTACATGTGCGGATAAACACATTAATATCTACACGCACACATCTATGAATGTATCCTTAAATATACCAGTTCATATATACTTTCTGGATATGTACATAGAGGAAGGAAGAGAGAGAAAAAGTGGAAGGAAGAGAGAAAGGGCGAGGGAAGAAAAGAGAAATAGGTTAGAGAGAGGGATTAAGGAAGAGGAGACAAGAAGTATGTGTGGAAGAGAAGGAGGAAGAGGAATAATGGGGGAGAGAAAGGTTGAGAGTGGGGGAAGGGGGAGAGGGTGAGATAGAAAGAGAGAGAGTGAGAGAAATGGGGGAGAGAGAGAGAGAAAGAGAGAGAGAGAGGG